ACCTGGGAACAGTAGAGGGAGTGGTGACCTCGCAATGCTGGACATCAACATGTTCAGCGATGTAAGCCAAACTCAAGTGAGATATACATCAAGTTTTAAGAGCTCACCAAAAACAAGGAGAGGAATTCCCTCCCGCTATTTGTATGAAGTTATAGTAACCAGGGAGCAACTCAGTATCTACTATTTTGAGTGACGCGAGCGAAACTTAAGTGAGATTTACATCGAGTTTTCTCTCCCACTATCTGTATCAAGTCATAATGATCAATAAGCCACTCAGTATCCTCCTATGTTGAACGATGCGAGTAAGACCCAAGTGAGATGTACATCGAGTCTTTTCTCCTGCTATTTGTATCAAGTCATGGTAACCAATCAGCCACTCAGCGGCAGCTGCACCAGTCGGTCCAGGTTCTTCGAGGAGTGACGCCCGGAGTGACCCTAGCCTGACGTTCAAACGCGCTTTCGAAATTTGTGACCAGACCTCAATTTTATACTTCTTATAATACTCCTTCAGAGCTCTGACAACATCGCCACTCGTCATTTGGTGGTTGAAAATAGATCGGGTGAATTCTTCCAGGATTTCAGCATTGTCCCAGAGAACTAAGCATCACAGATTTGAAGATGGTATCTTAGGTCATCGAGAGTCTCTCGATATCATTCTGGTATTATGTATTGGCGTTTCTAATGGATTTCCACCCGTCTTACGTGGAGACTCCACGTGAACCACTCCACGGTGGAATGGCGTAAAACTCCCGTAAAAAACGCGGTAATACCGCGGCGGTATTCGCGGTATGCAGTAGTCGTGCGATACATTTTTCACTAGTGTTTTTCATATCACGGGTGAAACTCGAGTATATCTATTTCCATTCAATTTCCAATATCAGACATTACAAATATATTGTTATTTAGTTCTAATATAAAAGTATTTGATATGAGTACTGTACCTATTTCCTCTACTGTGCGCACACGTTATACTATTTACCTACTAGGTTCTGTGAAACACGAGTTCGACGACTCTGTAACACGCCGACCCTGACACGCAGTTAAGTTGTGTGTCAATTTCATCGTAGGACGTCACCGTTTCCTTCCTATGTGGTGGAGCACTCAATGGCTTCGGTATGGAGATGGGGGCATCTCTGGGAATACTGGGCGCCGCGGGTAGCTGTGAGGCCTACGGGCAGTGCAGGAACATAATATTCCGAATATATTCATCAGCGTTGGGATGTATGTTCGCTTTTCTCACCTGAGCTCGAAAGTTTTTTCACCGATTAGAAAGTTTATAGACGAATTCGGGTAGGAGTGTACAGAAACGAACAATAATTTCCTCAGGATTTCTATACTGTCACCTTCATATGCAGCTGAACATGTGCCTATTTTCCCCACACTGATTAGCACATGGTCAACTACAAGTGAAGGTGACAATATGAGAGTTGTGAGAAATTATCGTTGGTTTTTGTATACCCAAACTCTGAATCGTATGACAGAGGACGTGTATGGATTCCCATAATGTAGAGAGCGAGCTCCCGAGCTCAGCTGGGGAAACCAAACATTTTTTCCACACTGCCTGCGTCACGCTCAATCGAAGGCTCTCCCTCCTTACTGTGAAGGATTCAGCACTTTTGATCTCGAAAGGTTTCACGCGTGGACGCAGTGCAAAATTGAAAGTCGTCCTGGGATAGGAGAAAAAACTTCTTTCTCCCAGTAGGTGTGGTTCACTTTGGTGATATTGACGATTCTGCTGGAGACTGTAGTATTTGAGAACCTGCAGGTGCCGTATTGTCGCTTACGAGAAGACGTATTAATAAAAAGACGTATCGCGAGCACTGATATGAGAACTATGATCATACCTGTCAGTTTGATGTGATGCAAATATGCGTTATTTTCCGAGATTAATAACAATCGATCTGAACCTATATCGCATACACAATGTAAACATTGCTATAAACATGTGATGTGATAAAAGTAACCTCTCGAGACTATGATAGCGACAAGTTGTTCACTATCACTAATCCCGGAAATTCGAGGCAGGAATAGAAAACGCAATTTCTTGACATTTTATACCACCTAACACGCACTGTAGCGATGAGAGGGCTGAATTAGGACTCCTAATGTCACTGACAACTATTAAACCTGCCACACGTCCATCAACCAAGATGAATCTCTCTAAAATATGATTGACATAGGCTTTTTAAATTAAGGCAACTTGAGAACAGTGCTCGCCTAGCTGAGGATCCAGTCTAAGGAGAACGTACCACTAGCATTCTGTAACGGAATCACTGGTGATGGTGCGGAAAGGTTCTGAGACTAGAAGAGACCAGCAGGTGTGTTTCATAAGAATGTCAGTCGCTCACTAGGGCGGTGCTGGACGGCACTGATCGGGGAACTTGCCTGGGCGGAGGGTTCATCAGTAGATGAGGACTGAAATTGACACACGAAAGTCTCTAAAAGGTACAATTTCAACCTTTCAGAAATTGAATTTTGCATGGTGATTCTTCGTGCATTTTCTCTTTATCCGTTAAAAAGAGTGGGGTTGGAGACTCCACAAAAGATCACTCCAGTGGCTGTAGTTGCGCAGACTGCACAGCTAATGAATCTTATGGTTGTTGACGATTTTACGAGTATGATTGTGCATAGAATCTCTAGATTCCATTAACCATTGCCTTGAGTTCCCTCATGGCCAACAGTAGCAGAGAAGCGCTGCTTCTCAGTGTATTGTCTACTGCCCTCACCCTTGAGGAGTTCGTCGGTGAGAAAACATACGTTTGATGATACAAGACACCCAAATTGACAAGAATTGTCGGAAATCCATGATCACGACTCGACGCACAGATGCTCAGCATGGGGACAAACGAACCTCGGGCATCAGGGTCATGTGCGCTCGAGTACTGTAGTTGTGCAAAATGCACGACTATGCAAGCTTAACTTCAGCTCGAAACTAGTTGATGATTTCATGAGTGCGATTGTCGGTAGAATGCCTAGATTCTACTAACCATTGTTTTGAGTACCCTTATGATTAACAAGTACAGGGTATCGAGAAGACCCTTCCACACCGGCTTGGAAGATGCTGGTGCATCATCATCGCTGCACACAATGTGTCTCCATACCCAAGCTAGTGATGAAGATAGTCTACATCAATTAAATATAAATTGTACTTATTAAATTTAGCTCGATTCAATCAGGCTGCTGCCTTGTAAGCCATTCTGCTGCAATCATACAGTGTGGTCTTATCTCAATGAGCAAACCATCAACAGGCTCAAGTTTTCTTCGAACAAAATTTGAGCCTCGTATCGAGACAAGACTCGTCGTTGATTGAATTGACTTACCCCGTGCGAGGGTCATCTATCGCCTCGATCCATGTAGAGAGATCCTCCTCATCT